AGAATCTGCAGACACACCTCCAAAGTTCAGTCTTAGAAGCTGGTTGATCATTTTCTGAAGTAATCAAACACATTCAGTGGTGCTGAGGTCTGGACTCTGGGGTGGTCAGTCCATTGTTCAGCTTCTTTGTTTGATGTGTCCGTCTCCTTTTCTCAGTGAGGTTCTTCTTGACAGCTACACATCCTTTCAGACCCACAGCGCTGAGTCGTCTTCTCACAGTGGAAGGATGGATGTGGATGTTTTCAGATCTGAAGCAGCTTTAAGTGCTGTTTATGGGAACAGTTCTGGTGGTCTACCAGGTTTTGTTAGAAATGTCTCCAGAAAAATTAATAACTTGTATTTAATGGCCGTTTTGACTGGAAATTAAATAATTGAAGGGTGGTTTTTGCACAGTACTGTATCCTTATGAGACAGTAATATGCCTCATATGTACGCACCAATATGTACTTAGTCCCATATATATTATATGGAGGAAAAAACATTCTTGTAATTGAAGTTAATGTTTTTGAAATATAGAGATATAGTGTTAGCGAAGACATGCAAGTATCTGTATGTAATAATTGTCTCATATGCATTATATACATAGGTAACTATATGTAATAGTAACATGCCCCCCATAAATATATATATATATATATATATATATATATATATATATATCACTGTTGTTGGAAGAAAACCTTGTGACTCCAAAATGGTAACTTTACAGGAGAAGGAAAAAACATACTTTAATTTTAATGTAAGTCAATGGAACCAGAATTTTTTTCCAAGTCATTTTGGGCCGTTTCTTTTAGTCCATTCATCATGAAATTTACATACAACGTAAAGGGTAACAGACATTTTCAAATTATGTCAAAAATGAGACAAAATGAATATATATATATATATATATATATATATATATATATATATATATATATATATATATATATCGCTATATTACATATAGGGCATGTTACTATTATATACTATTATAGTTACCTATGAATATAATACACATGGGGCATAATTATTATATACAGATACTTGCATATCGTTGCTGACGTTATATCTCCATTTCAAAAATCTTGTAATAAAATATGTCCCATACTCAAGGCATCCATATATAATGAAAAATGTATAAGTCTATTCTTCTAACCTTTTCCCAGGAACTAAGCCATGGTTTCGCGTCCTATATTAAAATGAGAAAAAAAATATTTTTCATTATCAGGACTATTTTGTTGATCCTGACGTTGTAGGTTTTTCTCTAGTTGTCATATACAGTCCTGAGAATGTATGTAAACAAACACGCAGTGTTAAATCCCACTTTCACAGCAGTGCAGATTTTTGGACTGAGCTCACCGTTCCTGTGTCTCACTCTCTCAGCCCTGTTTCTCCCTCCTCAGCGAGGGGCTCTTTGCTGCAGGGTTGAATCGGAATGCCACCCCTCCCCCCGTGCTCCGCTCCCGTCCCCCTGAAGGTGCTATTCACGCAGGAAAGATCAATGAGACACAGCTCATTAAGGGGGGGCCGGGGCGCAATGACAGTTAATTAACCCTCACAGGCCTTTTCATTTCCCCGTCACACGTACACGCGCGCTCACGGCGCACAATCATCCTCGAACACCTCGGCGTGCTGCTCAGGAGCCGTGTCCTCTGACCCCCGTACAGAACGGCTCCGCAGGCTGATCTCGGGTCAGCTGTGATTTTGATTGCGCAGCGGTCGGCGGCGGATTTGGCCGAGGGAAGGCGATCTCAGAGTGCTGATGAAGAGGCTGTCCCACAGTGCGGGCTTGTTTGCCCAAACTCTTCAGGATGACCCCAAGTTCTCCATGAGCTCTCAGCTGAAAGGGCAGCTAAAATAGCTTGACCTTGGCCCCTCTTAACCCACAGACTGGAGGATGGAAAAGACATTAAAAATTCCATTCCAGGCGTATTACTGTTTTTCCCAAGTGACGTGAACCTCGTGTTTCTTGAACATTGTGAGTTTAAAGAAGTAACTTTAAAAAAACAGCTTGATAAATGGCGAATAAATGGAGTGTATTGTGAGCTTTGGCTCTGACGCGCTCGAGGTTTTGTTTTACAGGCTTGTGGCGGATTTCCCAGTTCCAGATTAAGTCTAAAATCAGATTAAATAAGATTTCCTATGGAGATTTACCATCAGCATCGCAACATAGTCTGAGACATAGTCTGAGACTAGGCTTAATCTGGCTTTTAGAGACTTCAGCATCATGCTTTCAGCAGTAAAGTCCTTATAGGACAGTCTGTCCACTCCACAGCAGTCTTAGCAGTTGTTTACCATAATATACAGTCGTGTGCAAAAGTTTGGGCACCCCAGATCAAGTGACATGATTTTCTAAGTGAGAGTTAGTTAACACACCCTCTACAGCAGGGGAGTCAATCTCCAGCACTTTAAAGGGCCATGTTAAAAAATCTCAACAAATCTGTGGGCCAGCTGTGTTTCTATTTTATTTTTACTTAACATTTTGCCGTGAACCGAACTGGCCATTGCTTGTTCAAAATATGCCAAAACTACAAGGGCAAAAAATAAGCACTGAATACTTAAACGATTCAAAAATAATTCTAAATAAAACCAGATTATGGACTAAATTAGCTGCAGATCACTGTTAAACCTCTTTAAATGTCCCCGATGTAAAGTAGGTTTTTTTAACACTGCCCTTTTGCTCGAACCAGAAATCTGACATCCTTTTCTTGTTTTGTTTTGTTTTTGGTGGTGCTGTCCCATAGATAGTTGCTGAGGAGGTGGTTGGAACACACGTTATGTTGCAGTGCATCCTGGGAACTGTAGTGCAGCTCATGGTGAAACGGGCTAATATTAACAGAAAATTAAAATAATTCTGCGGGCCGAATAGGACTGTGCCACGGGCCTGACTTGGCCTGAGGGCCTCGTGTTTGACACACGGGCTCTACAGAGAACACACTTTTGCACATTTTAGTGCACAGTTACTGTTTATTTGCTAATTTAACATATGTGGCCTGTGCAAAAGTTATGGCACATTTTATAGTTTTTTCTAATATGTTAAACTCAGCGAGTAATTAGAAATCGATTGCTAAAATTTGCAAAAATGCCATATTTAGGAAACCAACAAACATTTAAAACTTTTGCTTATGATTGTCAGTATGCAAGACCAGGCTGCTAAAATCTGACCAACATTGCATGCATAATTTGTGGACTTTGGCTCAGATAAGTCATGAAAAATGTTTTTTCAAGTGCTTGTTGTTCTGGCTACTACTACACATTTCCACATGAATGGGGTGGGGCCTTTTCCCATTTATGACTGAAAATTGGCTCTTTTTATTGAAGGGTGGGATTTATAATAACACACATGCTCTGTTGGGTGTTATGAGTCTCCCTCTCCTTTTATACAGGGTGTCTGTGGGTCCTTAATTTGTCTGAAATAACATTTTATAAATAAAAGGCTATAATAAGTGTTATATTAAAGGAGAATTCCATCCATTTTACACCAATACAGAATGAGAGAAATACAGAGTGAGAAATCTGTGATATGTCTGCCCACAGGAGTCACACATTCCTGAGAGAATCTACATGTTTACAGCACATGATTAGAGGTCTGCCTGTGTAGGAAATCTGTCTGCTAATGTGTCTTTCCACAACATACAGCGCATCCCTGCACGACACTATACAAAGCAGGGGGTTTAGCGGGGCGCGGTGATCAACTGGTGGGGCATTGCCCCAGAAAATGACCACCTGCTGCAAGTCCTGCTTGTTATAATGCCTCTGGTGAAGCAGAGCTAATGCTGCAGTGTAATGCCCACGTGTCAAAACACGAGGCCCGTGGGCCAAGTCAGGCGCGGCACAACCCTATTCAGCTCACGAAATTATTTTCATTTTCTATTAATATTAGCCCGTTTCACCCTGAGCTGCATTCCATTTCCCAGCATGCACTGCAACATAATGTGTGCTCTGACCCCCTTCTCTGGGTCACCGGTTACACAATAATAAAAGATTCCTGGTGTCATTTTTTTTTTTGGTTTAATTTATTTTTTTATTTATAATTGTTTATATTGTTAATTCTTGTGAAGGATCGAGTAAATAAACACCCCGATCAGGCATAACATTCTGACCACCTCCTTGTTTCTACGCTCATTGTCCATTTTACCAGCTCCACTTACTGTATAGGTGCACTTTGTAGCTCTACAGTTACAGACTGTAGTCCATCTGTTTCTCTGCATACTTTGTTAGCCCCCTTTTACCCTGTTCTTCAGTGGTACAGCAGTGCTGCTGGAGTTTTTAAACACTGTGTCCACTCACTGTCCACTCTATAACCTTGTAGATGTAAAGTCACAGACAGCAGCTCATGTGTGCCAGCATAGTTTGTGTTGGTCATCCAGCAGTGACACTGAGGTGTTTAAAAACTCCAGCAGCACTGCTGTGTCTGATCCACTCAGACCAGCGCAACACACACTAACACACCACCTCCATGTCAGTGTTACTGCAGTGCTGAGAATGATCCACCACCCAAATAGTACCTGCTCTGTGAGGGTCCATGGGGGTCCTGACCCCTGAAGAACAGGGTAAAAGGGGGCTAACAAAGTATCAGAGAAACAGATGGACTACAGTCTGTAACTGTAGAACTACAAAGTGCACCTATATAGTAAGTGGAGCTGATAAAATGGACAATGAGCGCAGAAACAAGGAGGTGGTCAGAATGTTGTGCCTGATTGGTGTAAATAAATAAATAGTAACAAGTAACAAACTGTAACCTTGTTAAGTAATTAACCAAATTAATGTTAATTCTCTTCTTGTTGCTTTTCTTGAGTGCCTTGCTCTCCCTTTGCTGCTGTAGCACTGTAAATTTCCTCTTTGTGCAGTTTTTGTATATTTTGAATAAACAAAAGTTTACACAAACAAAAGTTCGGGTCATAGCAGATTGTTAAGCAAAATTGAAATAAAAACACAGCTGGCCATTTTTTAATATGGTTGATTTTGACGCCCTGGTCTAATGGCTAATAGTGTTTCCTCTTCTTCTTTCCTCACAGCTGACCCTCTGGTGGGAAGCATTGCCACACAGTACCTGACCAACAGAGCAGAGCACGACAGGATAGCCAAACAGTGGACCAAGCGCTACGCCACATAGACCCTACCTTGCCCCCGCCGTCCCTCCTGCGACCCTACGAAGCACACCTGGCCCTCACTCCAGATGTTCCCCCGCCCGCCCCCGACCCCGACGACGAACTGTCCTTTGTTTCTTGTTGACTTGAAAGCTTTTTTATACAGTGTATGTATACTAAGAGCAGATCGGGATTGTACTTTTTCCAATGCGTTGAATGTTGGCATGGTCATCAAAAGCTTTATTATTATTTGTAATGTTAGACTGTTCTTATTACTGTTCTACTGATCTGCATTATTAAGGAAAGGGTGGAGTGCGCCCACTGGTTTTCTTCTGGATCTTTGTGCATTTCCTTCAACCTGGGCGCAGAAGACGAAGACCAGGCAGTGATCACTGATATTTTTTCATGAACTCTTTTATGTCTGATTGATGTTTTAACTCCAGGTTTTTTTTTCCCTTCGAGTTGTTTATGTGGAACACTATGGCACTGGCCTGTTCATCTCGAGACGCCCCGTACCAGTTCAGTATATCAGCTGGCCTGCTGCTCGCTACGTGCGGCTTTGGCTGTTTGTTGTAAAATGCACATTGTGAGGGAAAACTCAATTGATACTCTGTTTAGTAACTGAGTGAATAAATGACGTGTTGAGCCGAAATGTGGTTGGGTTACTGGTGTTTGTGGAGTTCTCACTGACCGTGAATAATGTTTTCCCCTGTTGATCACAGGCCTGACATTTTGTCTTTCTGGTTTTTACTGAGCGCATAGATTAGCTGCTAACCAGACTCTCAGTTTAGTGAAAGGTCCTTCCTGTGTGAGTGTTTGGGGCTAATATTTTCCATTCACCTGTGCAAGTGCAGTTTCTCTGGTGACCTGAATTCAAATTTTGTCCAAAAGCATCAGTTCAGCTACTTTAAAGAGCACCCATTGCTGACACAGCTTGCACTGTCCAATATAACGAGATGCTTTGGAGCAGCGAGGTCACCATGCCCAATGCTAACCAGCTGTGGAGCAGTGGAGCTGCGTTCTCTGGAGTGATGGGGCTCCATCCAGTACCTTTGGGTTGAGTTGGAGTGATCCAGAACTGACCATCCAACATCAGTACCTGACCTCACTAATGTTCAATCAAATCCACACAGCAATGTTCAAACATCTGCAATAAAGCCTTCCAGAAGAGTAGAGGCTGTTACTGCAGCAAAGGGGGACAAACTCACCATTAATACCCTTCATTTCAGAAGAAACGCAGAAATTTACAAACTTTTAGTCATATGTAGGGGAGACCGGGGAGGATTGTGGCTCTTTCTGTCTCAGCCTCTATAACTCAGTTACACATTTCAAATTTTGACACAACCATATGTGTCTGTTACAAATAAATGTGGTGCAGAAATCTGGTATTCACTCCTAAAATGACTGTGTTGGTGTCAAATGCAAGGAGTGTCATTGTGACAACCTACCCCACTACTGTAGTAGGTTGTGACAGTGCCCAAAGTCTAACATTTCTGAAAATAAATGCACCCGAATATATATATATATATATATATATATATATATATATATATATATAAAATTCATTTTTTCATGTTAAATTCAAAGCAAGAAGATATTGAAATTGAACCAATGGCAACAATGAAGATTCCACAGTTTCTTTGATCTCTAAATCTCCCATCATAATAAACCTGAAATCAGCGTCACAACAAAAGGTCTTTTTTAGGCATGTACGTCTGAGACCAGCATACATTTTATGCATTAAATTAAACCAGACAATGATGTAGACCATATCAGTTAGAACGTTTAAAGGTTCACTCTGGCTAAAATAATAAAGTTTAACCATCACTACCTCTGTAAACATGCCTACTCGCCTGCTTCATCGGTGCCACGATAGCCCACAAAGTGAGATTTTCCAGTTTGTGAACTAGAACCATCAAGAAGGCATACAAAGTTGTGAATTCTGTCAAACCGATGAGGCTGAGAGGTGAAATGCTGCACCACAGAATATTACATAACAAATAACAGATGCTAGTTTTAGGCCCGGAATTCCCCTTTAACCTCTATAAATATTAGTGCTAACCAAATATTAGAATCCATAAAAAATTACTTTATCAAAATCTGCTTTTGTTACACTTTCAAAAAATAAGTGCTTCTTCAACGGTTCTTTAGTAAAGACAGTGGTTCTATAAAAACCCTTTTTGCATAAATGGTTCTCTGCATGGTGAAATGGTTCTTCAGAGTGATGGAGAATGTGTTGTATATGGTTCTATGTAGAAGATTTTTGAAAATGGTTTTATACAGCACCAAAAAATGTTCTTCTATTGTTACAAGCTTGACACTGTCATAATAAAAGAACCCCTTTTGGTGCTATATAGAACCATATACACATTCTCCATCAATCTGAAGAACAATTTCACCATGCAAAGAACCATTTAAGCATCCAAATCGTTCTATACATGACTCATGGCTGTAAATAGAACCATTCCCTTCATGACAGAACCCTTCAATAACCATCTTTTTAAGTGTTGACCTAAATACAGTATATCTGTATGCAGTTTCACAGTCTTCCAAATTCCCCTGCCATCTCATGATGTAGGTGGGCGTTATAGTGATATCACCCCTGTAGCTCATATCGGAAACAAGGGTATTACAACTTACCCTGTATAACAACCTGCCCCGGCCTCCCCTGTGTGTTGATTAAACTGTGTTGCTGCTGACCCTGGGCAGAAAAGGCTCCTCAAGGGCTTCTCAGTGACAAATTTAGTGTACAGCAAGGCAACCATTTTATTTAGGGGTCGCAACCCAAATGTTAAGAAGAACCATTTTGTCCTTTCAGCAAAAATCAAACCACCTTGGGAGCCACAACACTTTATATCCATTTTACCATCCTGGCTGCTGTAAGCTGTAGCTCAGCAATAGCCGCTTTTCTCGCATCTCCAGCAGGAAACTTTTCCGCAAAAGTGGAACAGTTTCTTGTAAAATGTCTTTCAACATCCAACTTTTTACAAGGCTGAAGTCGCTTCTCATTCTCCAGCTTCTTGTCTGAATTGTTCCGTTCCACCTTAAATGGTGCCAGAATGTAACTACTGCACGATTTAAGGTGGAATGGGAAAATTCAAACAATAAGCCAGCGAATGAGAAGCGACTTCAGCTTCACGACTTTTTAGTGTTTGTCAGTTTCTCGCTGCAGATTAATCGTATTAGGAAACCAGCTGGAGTGATTATAAACGCAAGTAAGTCCATTCGTCTCCAAATTATCAATGTTCGTCTTAAATCTCTCTCTTTGCCTTTTCTTAAGCTACTAGCTGGGCGAGACTGTTGTCTGTGTTGCTATGGTGACCAGCAGTCTGCGCTGATCTTCAGGGTTAAAGGGTGAATTAGCAGTTCTACATTAACTCCAGAGTTTAAGACCATTTATTGTTAAACTGTGTTGAACGATCAGCAGAGCTTTATTTTACTGTAAAGGAGGATTATTTTATTTTTACCTACAAATCTGATTCTGCTGTGGAGCCGCAACAGGGCAGTAAAAGAGCCGCATGCTGCCGACCCCTGATCTTATCTAAAGCTTGTCATACAGATGGGTTGATAAAAGAAAAGATTTGTCTTTAAAGGTGCTTTTTAAGGGCTTTGACTGCAGGTGGGCTGCTCCAGAGAAAAAAGGCTTGAGTGGGTGAAGAAAAATGCTGCATGAAAGAGCCACCATCACTGAGAGCCTGTAGAAATGAACAGTGATGTTTATTCAGGCATGGACAAAGTGATTCTCCCATTTCTTATGTAGTGTTTTAAAGGGGAACTCCACCGACATTACAAACTTTCTGCATGATTAAATGGTTAAGATGTCACCAAGTCATTCAGAGTGGTTGGTGTGAAGTACCCCGTTCTAGAGAAACTTACCAAGTCACTGTCGTGGTGATAGAAACCAGACGTCCACCTCTAAAAGCTCTAAAAGATATTACATGAAATTGTTATGAATTCACTGACTAAGACATTGTATTCATGATACTATTTTACCATCATCAACATTCCATATATAAACTCAGAAGACTCGTGTAGGTTGACTGGTGGTTTTGGATAGTAAATAAAATGTCTATATTTGTGTTGTAGACTTGACGACCCCGATTCCTACCACCACTACTGTAAAGACATCCACCAGTATTCTAAAATTTCTGCAGAATTAAATGGTTAATATGCAAATAAGTCACTCAGAGTGGTTTGGTGTGAAATGCTTCGTTCTAGAGAAACTTACAGAGTCACAGTGTTGGTGATAGGAACCAGACGTCCACCTCTAAAACTCTAAGTTATTATATAAAATGGTATATGTACAGTATATCTGGCCTGAATCGTTGTTTTGTGATAGTTCTGAGAAGGTTTTGGTCTAAAACATTGTTAAATCTATTCATGACAGAGATAGACACACACACAGGGCACGATGAGGCAAAACAGCCCCAAAGAAAACTTTTTTTAGATTTATTGCTATTTTCCCATCATCAACATTCCATATAAAGGCTCAGAAGACTTGTGTAGGTTCACTGTTGGTTTTGGATAGTAAATAAAATGTCTATATTTGTTGTAGACATGGTGACCCCTGGTTCCTACCACCACCACTGTAAAGAAATCTGCGTCTCTACAATCAACCATTTCACACCAAACCGCTCTCAGTGTTCACATCTCAACCACTGAATTCTGCAGAAATTTTGAAACAAATGGTGGAGTTCCTCTTTAGGTGCTGTTTATCTGATGGGGACAGTTTCGGTGTCTATCAGGTCTTGCAGGTGGTTGGTAGGAGACCCATTTTCTCTGTGGCTCCTGTTCCTTTTAACTTTATGCAAGTGGATTATCTTATATCTCATCTCAGAAATATCTCCTGAGAAAATGAAGAACTTTTACTTAATGGATGTTTTGACTGGAGAATAAATAAATACAGGGTTTCTGACTTTTGCACAGGGCTGTAAAGCAGAGACTTTACATGGCATGTTGATGTCGTCTTGCCCGGGTGCTTCATCAAGCCAGACGGCCTTCGCTATGAACCGTAAACAGGCTGCGTCTCTTCGTCTGCAATCATCCTGCCCAGCGTTCTTCGTACGGCCTCGCGTAATGCGAGCAGACAGAGAGAGAGGCAGGAAGTAAATATGTGTGCGTGTGCAAGAGAGTGGAAAGCCCTTGAAACCCATCCTGTTACAAATGCAAAGAACTTTGATGGTGGAGGGGGAGGGGTGCCTTTAAACTAGTGGTCGAAATATGGGTAAGTGGGGCAATTCCTGCAGTGGGCCCTGAGGCTAGGGGTGGGGGAAAACCCCTCTACTCACCCCCAACCCTGCAGCACATGCATCCTGGAGCTTATATGGTCCAAATCCTACATTTTGTGCCTGATTTTACGACATTTGTGTGGTTTTATGTACCAAAAAACAGTCATAACTCAGTGCTACATGGCCGTTTTTCAACCTGTATTTATCCTTAAAGAAGCTGTTATTACTGTGCCTTTAAGACTGATATATGTAAATGGCCTCTGTTCTGATTGGCTGCCCTGTATCATGCCTCATTCTTAAAGCAAACCAGGCGGAAACACTCCTTATAGCTGCAGCGCAAATAGGCCAGACTCAACTATTGTACACTGAATAGTCGTATACATGTAAATGCATTGTTTTTTTAGTGGCAGCACAAATTCATTTAGCTCACAATGGGCTATTTTTGCAGGTTAGTTTCCATATATGGGCTGGAGATATTTTAAACCTTAAAAATGTCACATGTTGCATTGAATTGTGTTGTTTTAAAGAGTGAGCTTTCCTTCCTTGAACACATGGGTCATATTCTGATTCAACAGAGCACAGAATGGCCCAAATAGATGCTTTTTACAAAGCTAGCATGATCATGATCTGCCCTTCTCATTTTCTTAATACATCTGCCTTCACATGTTGCAGTGTCATGCAGTGAAAGTGCTATGGATGAATCAGCCAGTGCATTGTGTTTACTCACTGTCAGCCAGGAAACAGACTCCATTTATCTCAGTAAATCCCTTTCCCCGGCTCTTATGTAGCCAAACATCAACCATAGTAGACATGAGTGAGGCTTTAGTGGAGGGAGCAACTTTGCTCTTGAAGCAGGGCCTCGAGGACTTTAGCTGGTATACACTGTAAGAGATTCTGAGCAGTTTAACCAACACAATTTAAATTTAAGCAACCGGCCCACACAAGTCTACATCAACGTGGGAGCTTAAGTAAATTACAGCCCATTACGCAATGTGTCTGTGGCAATGATGAAGCAAAGACAGGACCATGTTTATCAGGGTCTGCTGGCCTATTTTGCCTGCCGATATGCGGCTGCATGTGTAGTCATGGCGACCCCTGGTTCCCATCACCACCACTGTGAAGAAATCTGAGTGGGACGTTTCTCAACAATTAATTGTTTTACACCAAACTACTCTGAATGACTTTGTCTTCATCTCAATGATTGAATTATGCGGATTTTTTTTAATCAACATCTGAGAAGCCCATCATGCAATCCATCTCTAGCAAAGGCACACCTTACGCACAAATAGGATTGTTGAAGTGTTAAAATAGGTGTCCATACATGGATTCTTAAAAATACATATATATTTTATAGTAATACATTTATTTTGTGTATATATATATATATATATATATATATATATATATATATATATATATATATATATATAATTTTTTAAAAAATATTTAAAATGTGTAATATATTTTTAAATTTGTAATATATAATACTTTTTTTCTACATTTTTTTCTTCAAACTTGTCAGATTGTGGATAGTTCATAGGTTATTTATAGGCTAAAACTTTTATTAGCTAAACAACTTTGTTTTTGCAAGCAAATTTGTAGAAAGCGCATAACTGTCAGTACATAATCATTGTTTATAGGCTAAAACTTTTGTTAGCTAACACTTTGTGATAGTTTTTGCAGGCAGATTTAAGCCTATGAACAAATACTATGACAGTTATGAGCCTTCTACAACTTTTATAAACAACCATGTCTTATAAAAGTTTTAGCCTTTTGCAGGGCCTCTAAATTGTCAAACAATGGATTAGACGGCTCATAACTGCCTGTTAACAGCAACCACTTAATATTTCATTAGCTAACACCTTGTAGTTTTTGTAGAGAAAAATAATTCCTCAAAGTTGTCAAACGGCGGATAAGAGAGCCCATAACTCTCAGTAAACATCGTGATTGTTTATATGCTAAACATATTAGCTAAAACTTGGCGTTTGTTCTCAGGCAAATCATTTCCTCAAACCAGTCAGATGGATAAAATAGCATTAGTGGATAACACCTCGCGGTAGTTTAGTAATCTGCCATATGGCTTCACTTGAGGCAGCTCATAACTTTCGGTAAATATTGATTTAGCTGCAGAGCTGGCTCTACTTAATAAGCAACACAAGCGGCTGCTTAGGGGTCCTAGGGAGCCCCCTAACAGCTTTTAGGTAATAACTGTTAGCATTATTTTTTACACCACTTGTGGAGGACACTGCTATTAGGTAGCCTCTAATTATACAGCACATCAGCAAGCAGGCTAACTAATGTAAACAAAATGAGGATACCTGACAGCATTCAGTCAAATAAAGCAGACGACTAAACTAAGCTGCCAGCATTGATCATTTAAAGCGACAGCTTGAGGCTTTGGAGGAAAAAATATTATTTCTGTCTTTATTTTTAATCCTTTCACAAGGTGTAGGTCTTTGCCTGAGGACCCCAAAAATACTACTTATGGCCCCCAAAATGCTGGAGCCGGCCCTGCTTAGCTGTGTGCTTAATTTTGTTAGCTAACCCCAACTGATTATTGAACCTTGTGGATTTTTTATTATGATTATTATTATTTATTTATTTATTTTTGTAAACATCATAACAATTTAAGGCTTTTATTAGTCTCGAATAAGCACTTTAGGCGCTGATACATCTTTTTTTTTTGGTGTCTTCACACCAATTTGACATCAGTGAATGCGGGCGATCGGCTCCGGCTGCTGCTGCTGCACGAGCTGCTGCACGAGCACTTCCGCTGCGCGAGAGGCCAAAGCCACGCGCGTCCGCAGGCGACGGGGAAGAGAAGGAGCTCGTGCAGACACAAAGAAAGGTAGCGAGCGGGAGACTCGGGAGTTTCACGGACCTATTCGTTTTCGTGTTTTTGAGGCGCTCTCGTCGTCGAAACGGCGGACGAAAACGTTAAAGCCGTCGAGGAGAGAGAGAGAGAAGGGGGGAGTGAGAGAGTGTGAGAGAGAGAGCTGGAGGGAGAAGGGGTCTGTTGTTGGGACCGAGAGAAGAAGGAGGAGGAGGAGGTCGGCTACTCGTGTGGAGAACCACGGCTACGAAAACGGGCTGCCGTTCGACGGGTTTTCGGTTTTTTTGGGGCTATTTTAGTCGTTAGAGGGGCAAAGTTTCTCGAAGTCGAAGCGAGAGAAACCGGGGAGACTCCCGCACGACATTGCTGCGACGTCGCCACCGTCGCCACTTCGCCGTTTGCGCCGTTTACTCGGCCGGTTTGTTCGAATAATCCGAGTAAACGCGATTATCTCAACGGTCGGTCGCTTCTCGCACTTTCCAACGCTGTTTGGAACGTTCGGTACGCTCCTTTTTTGCGTCGTCAGCGTAGCTGCGGGGGTAAACACAACGCTACCCTTTACGATATCGGCGCAAACATCGAGGAAGAGGTCAGCAGGCTAATCTCCCCTCAGGCCACCGGGGTTATGAAATAAGTAAATAACTGTTCGATAAGAGGAGCTTCGCTTCGAAATCGGCCGCTTTTAATCGCTGCGAGGCTGAAGTTGGCCAGCGTCTTGTTCGAATTTTCCCGTTCCACCTTAAATGGTGCAGCGCCAGAATGTAACTGCTGCACCATTTAAGGTGGAACGGCAGAAAGATTAAATAAGACGCCGCGTTCAGCTTCGTCGGTTTGCTGGACGTGTCTGAAAAGGCGAAGGCTTTTTAAGGCCGGCCGTGTTTGTGAAAGTGGAGAGTTAGCGTTAAAGGTCACCCTCGGCGCTTGAGGTCGTTCGCGTTTTCTACCCACATTGTTCTCTCTTTCTCCATTTTCTCTCTCTTTCTCTGTGTTGCTTTCTCTCTCTTTCTCTTTCCCCTCTCTCTCCCCTTCTGCCTCTCACCTCTCCTTGTCTTTCTGTTGCGTTCCCTCTCTCCCTCTCCCTCTCTCTGCTTCTCTTTCTGTCCCTTTCTCTCTTCATTATCTCTCCTTTTCTTTCCGTTTCTTTCTCCTCTCTTTCTTTCTGTCTACTGCCTTCTCTTTTATCCTCTTTATCTATCTCTCTCCCATTCTCTCTTTCTCTTCTCTCTTGCTTGCTTCATTTCTGTTTGTAGGGTCTCTCTCTCTTTCTCTCCCTCTCTGCTTTTCTTTCTGTCTGTCCCTTTATTCTCTTCATAATCTCTCCTTTTCTTTTTCTTTCCTCGCCCATTCTGTCTACTGCTTTCTCTTTTTTTCTCTTTACTCTCTATCTATCTATCTATCTATCTACCTCTCTCTCATTCTCTCTTTCTCTTCTCTCTTGCTTGCTTCATTTCTGTCTGTAGGGGCTCTCTCTCTCTCTCTCTCTCTCTCTCTGTGTGTGTGTCTGTAGGGTTGTGCTGGCCAAGCCGGTCATCGCCTCTCCTTTTGTTTCCCTCTCTCGAGGTCGTGAGCATGTCGGATGAGGATTCGCGTGCCAGCTCTAGCTCTTCTTCATCCTCCTCTTCCTCCTCCGCTCACCAGCAAGCGGAGAAAGACACGCCTAGCAAGAAGCGAGAGAGCAAAGCCAACATGAGCAAAACCTCCAAACTCCTCTCCACCAGCGCCAAGAGGTAAGGGTGGCCTGCTCCTGTGGCCTTGGATGGATGGACGGACGGACGGATGGATGAATAGATATGTACACAGGATACATGCTCATAATTACACATACTGCACATATTTACACAGAGTGTGAAGGCATTACAAACATGCAGTGGTATGTGAGCTGTGAGCTGTTGTGGTCAGTGTGAAGGACCGCTAACGTGCAAAAAGCCAATAGCGTGTGGTATGAGTTTTGGATGCAGGAAGACATCTTTACAGAGAAGAGGGGAAAAAGAGAGCAGAAACCCCTGCGCCTGGTCCACCGGTTTTTCAGGTTTTCTGCCTGATTCAATCGTTGAGATGTGATCACTCATTCAGAGTGGTTTGGTGTGAAATGGTTGATGGTAGAGACTCAGATTTCTCTACAGTGGTGGTGATAGGAACCAGGGTTCACCATGACTACAACACAAATATAGACATTTTATTTACCATCCAAAAGCACCACTGAACCTACACGTGTCTTCTGAGCCTTTATATGAAATGTTGATGATGGTAAAACTGTTTTACCTCACAGTTCCCAATGTGTGTGTCACTCAGTCGTGAATAGATTTAACCATGTTTTTAGACCAAAATCATAAACAGTACTTCAGGCCACACATAATCATTATATATAATATGTTTCGGTGGGGGAGGTTTTGGAGGTGGACGTCTGGTTCCTATCACCGCCGCTGTGAACGGAGAATTTCGCACCAAACCACTCTGAATGACTCGTTTACGTCTTAACCACTTAATCATGCAGAGATTTTGGAATATTGGTGGAATTCCCCTTTTAAGCACTAAAAAGAGGAATCACTTTGTTCATGCATGAATAAACATCACTGTTCATTTCTACAGGCTCTCAGTGATGGTGGCTCTTTCATGCAGCATTTTTCTTCACCCACCAGCAGTAAAAGCCCTTAAAAAGCGCCTTTAAAGACAAATCTATTATAATCAGGCTTGTAGCTCCGGAGGAAGAACACATCAGACACCAAACATGTCTTGTCTGGGTTTCTACTTTTGGACTAAGACTTGGGGTTGCATGGACAAGGTCTTGGCTCAAGATCACACTTGAACTCTGCCTGAGTTTGGAAAAACACGCACAGGACCACCCTTGCAGGAGGTCACTTGTTTGAAGGAGGAAAAGGGCCAGTGCTTTGTTCAAGTGTTTCTCCAGATGTTCCTCAGCAGCTGCACCCGCTGCCTGGAGGAGATCAGAGCTGAAAAAGCATTGGGAGGAAATGTGGAGACCAAAATGAGCTCACCATTATCATTTTTGTTTCAGAATTCAGAAGGAGTTGGCCGATATCATGCTGGATCCTCCACCAAACTGCAGGTAAGTGGAGCTAGAATTACTGTCTTTGGTTCACTTTCATCTGTGGGCCGTCACAGTCAATGTGCTTTGTGTAGCTGAAGTGATCGAGATCAGCAATGTCGGCCACGCTTAGTTTGAGGGTAGATAACAGTAAGATGCTGAGCGAACTCGGATTAATTGCAGCGTAGAAGATGATGGGTAGAAGCAGCCGTGTCATATTAACTCATTAATGTCGTTTGAAGTGCCTTTGGGTCCTCCAAGGTTGCTTGAGTACATATTTGAAGAAGGAAATTGGACTGAACTGAAGCATGTGGTTAAAAAGCTTAGGTTTTATGATGGATCATGACACATTTAGTAACTGCTAACCAATAGAAAATCCAAATTTGGTTATTGACATGGGCGCTATGTCAATATTTATTGTTATGATAAATTGTCAGCTGCGTGTTTCATTACAAAGAGAGCATGATGACCAATTCTGTTCAGTTTGATTCAGTGCAGTATGAAACTGTGAATAAAATTCATTGTATGCATAGTTTTTTCAGCAGTTTTTTAATGTGACACTGCTTTTCTGTTTAATATTTGGTCAAATTAAATCTTGTGGCATGTTGTGAATGTCTTGAGTATCATGATATATTTTTAACACCTCATTTGATTGTTTCAGTTGTATCTATAAACAAACATCAAACTAGTATTGTTAGATTTCCATCCACGCTGTAACTCTGCAAAAACCTCATGACTTCAGACTAATCAGAACGAGTTCTGTGGTATTCGTCATTTTCATGCTGAATGTTGTTGACCTTGTGAAACTGGAGTAGATGTTTTGAGCTATTCGTGCATGCTTGACATTTTTTTTTCATGAGCCTTCTCGTGCAGGTCTACTCGCTGGGCGTTGCTGGTATGAATTCAGGCATAATATGTCAAATGATTGTGATATAATAATTAATAAGGTTAATGACCCCTACTGCCACTCTATGGTGAAAGAATGGCTTACAGACGTAAAATAGCTTGTTTTGATTGAGCTGTCTTTGTTCTGTTTCACCAAAAAAGACCTTACACAGTATTGGAAATATTAATCAGACATTTACAGAAAGAAAGTGTTTATTTATATTAACAATTTGAAGCACCCAGCGAGCCACATACAGTTGTATGCTGATGTTTGAACACCCCGATGATTAATTTTACATAATTTAATAGAACTTAAATATCACGTTTTTCTGCAAATGTTTGTTTGCAGACACATGATATCTTAGCAAGTGACATGTTCAGCAAATAAACAGTAATTTTGCATTAAAATGTGCAGAGATGTGTTCTCTGTAGAGGATGTTAACTTATTTACACTTAGAAAATCAGACACGTCAGTTGACCAGCAATGTATTAAGCCCCATGTGTCGAACGCAAGGCCCGGGGGCAGATCAGGCCCGCAGCACAATCCTGTCCGGCCTGCAAAATCAAAATTATTTTGATTTTCTGTTAATATTAGTCAGTTTCAGAGTGTACTGCACTACAATCCCTAGCATACACTGCAAAATAATGTTTCCACCCCCAACAACAATACATGGGACAGCAGTTACACCTTAATTCTACTCAACTCCACCGCAGTCATATCACCAAGCACACTAACTGTGTTAGCAGTTCAACCAACATAAACACTACAAAACACTCAGCTCAGTAGGTCAGAAAATGATCCCAAGAATGAATGAACGTGCAGCAAAGAAAAGATGCCAGGTGTCTAGGTTAAGCGTATAGGTAGGTTTCAAATACATCCTGAGGATATTTGTGTGTATGTGATTATAATATTTAATATGATCATGTATTTAACGTATCCATGTATTTAATGTATTTAACATTTCAAAGTCTGCTACAAGGCATTTTCTGGCCCGCGGATTTCGTTGAGGTTTTTTTAAAATATGACCGTTTTAGTGGTTGAGTCTGACACCCCTGTATTTAGCTAACTACGTTTTTTGTCGTCTGATATTCATGATATATGTGTGTAGTCCAGCGCTGTTCACACCCCTGGCCGGAGGACATCAGGAACTTTGCTATCTCTGTGGTGTAGAGTATCGGCTGCCTGGTGATTAGGAGAAGGAGCAGACTTCTCGCTGTCTGATATGACTTCCTGTGTTTGTTCCCACCCTGAATTAACAATGAGCTCAAAGAGCTGTTTAGAAGTGCGGTGTATTTCCTGTTTTCCCGGGCTGTGTTCAGACAGAGCGTGTTGCTCCTAGAGAGCCGCAGTGCGTCTCAGATTTTGATTTAGCTGGTTTCAAATTCGGCCGATATATCGATTAAGGAGGTGCATATTAATTTGGGTGTTTGGTTATTCGTAGGTTGGGCGTTATGCTCTCGCTTCGTACCCTCATACCATCCCCAGATATTACTGCGGTTTATAATATTCCCAGGGGTTGGGAAATGGGTATTAGTGACGTAAAAGCATTGCAAAATCTCAGCGTGACTGAAATTACAACATGCATCTGAAAAAAAAAAACAATATGGAATGATGTGGGTGTGCGCGAGTGGGAGAGAGATGACCAATTAAAGTAAAAACTATTGCTCATAAGTCTAAGAATATTAGCTTATGCTATTAATCTGACCATCAGTTGACCAGCAGTGAAATAGCAGAGCAGGCCACCATGTAGTGGACATAAAAATTGGCCTACTGACCAAGTTCACTTTGGAAAATGAGCATTCCATGGAGCCCCTTTTCCTCATTAGCTATTTAAAACATTACATTTTAGCTCAGTATTAACGGCCATTTAAATACCTGCGGTTAACAAATTATCTGAGTGCAACTATTAAAGTTCTAAAGTGGCCAAACTGGCTTATCTTGCTTCTTAGCTGTCGATGCTTAGTAGCTCCCAGCTTATAACAGCTTGAGCTCATAAACATTTCTCTGCCCTATTAAGGTGTTATAGCGACACTTGAAAAACACACCGATCAGGCATAACATTATGACCGCCTCCTTGTTTCTACGCTCATTGTCCATTTTATCAGCTCCACTTACTATATAGGGTCACTTTGTAGTTCTACAGTTACAGACTGTAGTCCATCTGTTTCTCTGCATACTTTGTTAGCCCCCTTTTACCCTGTTCTTCAGTGGTCAGGACCCCCATGGACCCTCACAGAACAGGTACTGTTTGGGTGGTGGATCATTCTCAGCACTGCAGTAACACTGACGTGGTGGTGGTGGTGGTGTGTTAGTGTGTGTGGTGCTGGTCTGAGTGGATCAGACACAGCAGTGCTTCTGGAGTTTTTAAACACTGTCCACTCACTGTCCACTCTATTAGACACTCCTACCTTGACAGTCCACGATAGCTCATCTGCTGCTGCACAGTTTGGTCATCCTCTAGTCCTTCATCAGTGGTCACAGGACGCTGTTGGCTGGATGTTTTTGGTTGGTGGACAATTCTCAGTCCAGCAGCGACACTGAGGTGTTTAAAAACTCCAGCAGCACTGCTGTGTCTGATCCACTCAGACCAGCGCAACACACACTAACACACCACCACCACGTCAGTGTTACTGCAGTGCTGAGAATAAAAGAAAATGACTTTGCTTTCATTGTAAATCTGTCATCAGAAATCTGTTTAATCTGACGTGCAGTATAACAGAATTCGCAGTTTGACATGCCAAGATATTCTGTTTACCATCTCGCGCAGTGTGACATGCAGTAAATGTATAAGAGCGCTGTGGTTGCCCAGTGTAAAGTGGGCTTAAAATGCATCTCCTGAAGTGGTTTGAACAATCAGACTTCAGTCTGCTTTAATTACGTCTCCGGTGCGTTTACACTTAATAATCTCAATTCAGATATAATCCTGGTGCTCAAGACGCATCAAACGACTAGGTGTAAACTGGGTCTAAGATTCCTATTAGGAGAAAGTTGGGGTAAAATGTGCCTCCCATCCTCATCACCATCATCGTGTCTGTGCTGACCTTAACTGAGCTGGATGGTCTGAACTGAGATAAGCATGCTGATTATTTAAGTGGTGCGCTCTGCTTGCGTCTAGACCTTGAGGTGGGAACATGTAAACTGTGGCCTCTGAGACTTTTATGGTTGCATCTGAGGAGTCTTCTCAGAGGGGAAAGCTCTTTTGTGTGCTTTGGTTTTTCATGGCTGTTATGCAGATTAGTGCTGGGCAATTATGTTGGTGTTTTGTGATATTGGTTTTGCTATTGAGAACGGACATATAACTGAATGGTGTATTGATATGGAAATAAACAGGGTGCTCTTTCTGTCTCATTAACGTTTAGAGATCTGTGAAAGATAACAGTGAAAAAGAAACAGGATCAGAAGTGGATTAGGCTTACTTTTGCCCATAATCGATCAAGTAATGTGTCTGGATCGGCTCTGATTCTGATCTGATCCAGTGAAATTGCTATTATGTTAGGTTACAATTTTTTTTTTTCAAAAGAAATTGCTTTATATGCGGCCTTTTAAAGTAATATTAGACTTTTGACCTCTTCAACTCCTCGAGACCACCGGTGGTTCCAAAACGCACTTCGTCATATTGTTCATAACTTTCATATTTCATAAGCTACATTCTAAAGGTGGGGGTCGTATGAGAGCTGTAACTGTCTTCTTTCCAGTCAAATAGATGGGTGATGTAGTTTTAAACCCTTATAATAAAAGAAGCTGAACTCACAATTTTTTTATCTACTGAAAGTCGACCCATTTTTCCACAAATCTGGGCTATAAACTATAAACAGATGGCGTCTCTTCAGTGATCTGCTCTGTAAACATTATTTTTATAAAATAATACAAAGAGTGTCTAAGATTTTTGGCTTTCAGAAAGTAAATTGTAAGCATATAGCAGTATGTGTGATCATAAAACACATGCTCTGTTTATTTGAGGGGAGCTTTTACTAAATAAATAAATAAAAAATTACATTTATTTCATGCAGTTACTGAATAATTTGCCTTACGATTTGGTCATGTAAATACATATGGACAAACCAAAATATACCCTGGAGAATAAGAGTTTAAAGGCCTGGCTTATATCATGGAGAACTGAATTTTCCTTGATTTT